TAGACTTACCCCAAGAGGCCTGAGGATAGGAGTGCAGGCTAGGAGAGTTAGCTGGTGGTGCAGGTCCAGGGACCCAGAGAGAGCACAACTGCCACTCTTAATAATAAAACAGAAACTTTGTCTCAACTCCTAACATTAAGCATTCAGATTTATGGCCACAATTAAATTCTAAAAAATTTTCCAAAAGGTTCTCACTAATCTTCCATATTCCATAAGCACATTACAGAATATAGCTGCTGATATTCTATACTTCAAAATAAACTGAATTCTTCCAGTTCACTTACAGTAATTTAGTCCACAATCAAAGTGTGCTTCAGAAAAAGAACTGAGATAACCACATGGTTAGAAATTGCCCAGAACCCTAAGAATTTGGGACAGATGACTAGAGAGTGAATTTGATGGGACTTAAAACCAACATGGAAACAAATTTCTTCATGTCTGTAAGGGAATATACAGACCAGATTAACTGATGCGTCACAAAACCCACTCTAAATGTAGGCAGTACCATTCCACATGTGGGCATCACAAAACCCATTCTAAATGTAGGCAGTACCATTCCACATGTGGGCATCACAAAACGAATACAAAGGGAAAGATGACTTTAGCACAAGCATTTATCACCCTTTCCTGATTGTGGATGCAATGTGACCAGCAGCTTCAAATTCTGCCACAGCCTTCCTTGCCATGACAGACTGAACTCTTGAAATGATAGGCAAAAAACCCTCCATCCCTCCCTCCCTCCCTCAGTACTAAGTCCCCCAAAGTCCTAAAAGACAATTATTTCAGTAGACTGAATCACAACAAATGAACCCAGTGGATCCTAAGCAGATAAACAACTGACCCTCAGTAATGAATAGTCTACCCCATGACCTGTCAGGAAGCCTCTCTGAAATTCACCTGCTAAAATGTTTACATTTGATTGGTTCTAGGAAGAGAGGAGAATGCCCAGAATCTTAGGCTGGAGCAAGTGAGGCATCTTTTAATAAGCATATCACCTTCCCACTATTGTCTTTCAAACTGCAAAACTCTACAGCAAATCAGAAACTTCCCATATTTCTACCAAATCAGGAACTGAATGGATTTTGGTATGTCTTAGTATTTGACTCTTCCAAATACTATTTTCAACTAAATACCCGTTTTTTAATCATTACGAATTTTGCTATATTTAAAATGCAGAGGAAGTTTACAACTTTACACACCACTGACTGAGAAAGCCCCAGGGGAAGTACTGACAACATAAGGGTATGTATTATGCTCAGGATTCCAACACTCTTTGTCAACAGGGGAACTGAAAGAGGGTATTGCCTTCATATGGAAGAGGGCGGCCATGTTGACAAATCCCCCTGGAAAACATCCTATCATGTTCATAACCATCCAGAAACTGGTGTTTCCATATTGTCAAACAGATGGATCATATGCTTCTCTGTGTACCACCCTGCATTATATACAATTTATATTTAAAATCAATTAAAACTAAAACAAATAAAATGGATACCACTGTGACTAATAAGCTAACAATTATAAATGGATATTGAATGTAACATATAATTCACTTTATAGATACACATTTTAAAATTACTACTCAAAAGAAGTGGGAAATCAGATGTAGTAGCACATGTCTATAAGCCCAACGTGGGAGGCAGGTGCAGGAGGATAACTGTAAATTCAAACCAGCTGGAAATACAGGGCAAAACCAAAGGCCAAGCCAGCTTAATAGCTCACGCCTGTAATCTCAGCATTTAAGCGTGAAGCAGGAGGACTACCATGAGTTCAAGACCGGCCTGTGGTAAGGAGCCCCATTTAGATAAGTATCACCATATATTAACTTAAGTGTGTTAAGATTTGCCCCAATTCCATCATCTGTTGGGTGCTAATAGGTCCCAATTCATTCCTCCCATCCCACTAGCTCCCACAGACAGAGTGGAACTTGTCACCAAGAGGAGATTGGACCAAAAGATTATTAAGATTACTTGAATGTCTAAATCCAAGGAGTCAACTTTTTACTCCTAACTAACTAGCTTATACATACATACATACATACATATGCTCCAACAAATGTCCAATGAAGTCAAGATGCTTCACCAATGATTTGAGACCAAAAGTTACACATCAATCCACAGCCCTCAAATTAGTCCATAAGAAACAACTAGGCTTAAAGTTTATCAGCAAAACCCTTAGCAGAAAAGACAATAATTACAACCCAAACCTTCCTTCCAACTCACAGAAATATGAGTCCATCAAATTAAAGAATGAATGCTCTCCAATATATGCATAATCCACAGATTTCACAACTCCAGAGGAAATGAATATTAAACAAGTAACTTGCCAAGACTTGGGCTCTCCAAAGTGGAGATAATTAATACTGTAGAGATCCATGTCCTCAGTGTGCCACGCAAAAGTTGTTTTCCACATTCCAAAATAGAGATAAGGGGTATTTACACCCTCAATAGAGATACCGCATTCTTCTTCAACCACATCCAAGACTGTATTTAGGTGAGCGATGTTCCATTCGTGCACACCCTAGAATCAAAAGGGAGAGAAGGAAAGCAAAGTCATTGTTAGTGATTAAACAACATTTACTATTTAAATGGCCACTTGCCAAGTACTACATTATGTTTTGTTACTTAAAATGCAAAATAAAGCAATCATTCAAGAGCAACAAAATTACTATCAACGTAGTATATGTCTATATAACTATCAAGGTAAAATTATATAAAAAAAAAACACCAGGATTTCAGATGGAAATGAAAGTTATGATAGGTACCATTTCTCACTTGGTGCTAACAAAGAAAATAATAATCTGTAATTGAAAGCAAATGGTCTATAATATCCATGTTTGGCATGTATTTCTTTGGGGAGTGGGATTTTTATTGTTTCACTAGTTTTGAGGTCCTAGTCAACATTAGACATCACCTTAGCAAAAGAAATCTGGCATCGCTTCCTAATCCATATCCATTTTACTTGGAGCATGTGATACACTATTTCCTAATAATTCCACACTATTAGAAAAATTCAGAAGTATTCCAAACTGTAGATACTGTGTTCACAGCAATCATTAAATACATAATACATTGACAGAAAGATTTAAACATACAATTTCAGCTACAAATGATTCATCTAAACAGTGGTAAAAGTGCTGGACTAGTGTGGCTTTGTGCAATCATATAGTTGGTGATATGGAAGAAAAATAATTAGAATCATTGGTATGGAAATTAAATTTTTAAAAAGTTTTTAAAAATTAAGTTAAAAGTAGCTAGGTATGGTTGTATATGCCTATAGTCTCAACACTTCAGAACTTGAGCCAGGAGGTGGAAGAGTTCAGGGTTATCCTCAGCTACATAGCCAATTCAAGGTCAGCAGAGGCTCCATGACACCCCAACACACTAACAAAAATGTCAAAGGAATAGGAAAAGACTGATCTTGTGAGTACTTGCCACTCAATGATTAATTCACTCTAAACTCACAATTACTATGAATTTTTATAATATACTTTTATTGAATTTGTATGCATTTCATACAATACATCTTAATTATATTTAGAACCCCCTCTCCTATCTGCACCCCCATAGCCCCTCCCCATAGAATGTCATGCATTCTGTCATATATGGTAGGGCCTACTGAGTCAAACTTGTGTCCCCAGATGTCCCTTGATGTGAATTTATCCACTGGAGCCTGGTCAGCCTATCTAGCATCACTCCCTTAAAGAAGACCAACTCTCCCTCACCCAGCAGTGATCAGCTGCCAGTAGTTCCTCAGCTAAGGTTAGGGCCTCCTGCCCATTTCCCTTGACAAACTATGTTGTCTTATCTTCTCTCACACATTTCCTCATAGTCAAATTCAAATATCTAAGATTGGGCATATTCATATGTGATCACAGGGAACTACAATGCTTTTAAATCCACATGGTGTTATTAGAGGGGCATCAAATTTTTCAATGTGAACTGAAAAGGCCCTCTCTAATAACTATTACAATGGCCTAACAATAAAAGCTTTTAAGGTTATTTTACTGTGTTTTTTTCAATGTAATCTTTAAATAATTCTTTAGTTAGTAAGTTAATCCTATTTCCTAAAATTATTGATTAAGCAGTGAAGAGGAAATTAAACACCCTAATACCCCCTAACTAGTCATTCTATCTACAACTTAAGCCTTTCATTAGAAACACTGCTGTTTAGAAACTGAGGAAATCCTTCTAGAAAAAGATCTAAACTTGAGACCTCATAGAAGTTCAATAGGCTTACAAAAAGTATTTTTTAATTATTTATTTATTCATTTTATGTGTATGAGTGCTCTGCATAAATGTATGTATGTATTTGCACCAAGTGCATACAATGCCCATGTAGGTCAGAAAAGGGTGCTGGATCCTCTCGAACTGGAGTTATGGACAGCTGTTAGTTGTGATATGGGTGCTGGGAACTGAACCTGGGTCCTATAATCTCTGACTCACCTCTTCAGTCCCAAAATTTTAAATTTTTTAAAGTTAAGATAATAAATATTCCACTATTCTTCAGTAAATCTTACTGGACAGTCTTCAAAACCAGCTGTCAAATATATAACAAATGATAATAAAATCCTTTTAAGCTCAGGGTTTAATAAGAGATCTATAGGAGTTTCCTCTGGGAAAGGTAAAATTGCCATATTGCTCAAACTTAGTTTCTTTGGCTAAAATAAAAGTCATATAATTTCAATTAAAGAATTGTATAAATATTAAGAAGAATCAACATGAACCAAAAGAGAGAAACAGTATTGCTTCAAACCTCCTTCTCCAAGTTTTGTCCTGTACTACGTACAGACTGTGCTAGCTGACTGCCCCCAAGGACATGCTCCACACAGGCTCTTCTGAAGGGTTCCTGGCTGCCCGCCTATAAGCAGCGCATCTAGTTTATTGTTCAGCGAGTGTTGTACCATAGCACACTTCTTTAAACTACAGATATGACACAATGCACATGCTCAAAGCAACCGTATAAAGCCAGTAATGTGCAGAAATGAAGACATGAACATTCCAGTCTAGGCTAGGCGGCAGTGACTGCCTAAATTAGGCCATAAATTTAAACCCTGTTCCTCCTACTGTGATTCTTTAAAAACACTACAGTCTCTCCTCTCAGCATCAGTGTCCAACAAAGAAATGAAGAGCCAAAATTTAACGAATGTCAAACACATTAAACTGCTGTTTTCTACCCAAGAGCTGTCATCCCACACATGCACTAGCAAAGCCTGTAAGAAAAGATATTGTGCTTGAGGACTCAGAAAAGAAGTGATATAGTGTAAAAGCAGGTACCACAAAGTCCCTAGGTAGAAACAAGCCCCACAATGACTGATCAGAATTTGTTCAAATAGTTCAAAGTTTATAGCAAGTCTCCACAGAAGAGATATACTGTATACCAGCTCAAACTCAAAAACAAAAACCTGTCCTCACACTGTCACCCACCCTAAAAATCTCTTGTACATGGTGATCATCAGGTGCTTAGGTTAAACTTACAATTCCCCTGATATCCACTGGCAGACATCTACACCCCAACAGAGCTCCCTTCATCCTACTTTCCCAGCAAGCACTGTAGGCCTATCTGTTTCATTAGTTTCTGTACTCTGCATCTATTTTCTCAAATCATTCCCCACTGGACCACGATTTGTGCACAGTTGCATAAATGATCATTTTAGCAGGGACTTTCCCTTTCAGCCACTGGATCTTCCTATCAGGAAATCACAGAGGAGGTGAACATAACTTATAACTCTCAATATGACAACCAAGTCCATTGCTGCCTGAAGACCAGGCTACCCTAGACCCCCTCTAAAGTGATCATGCCCATAGCAGACTTGAAGGACCCCCTGCAGCAGCATTCCACCACAATTAGCCATTTCTACCAACATACATGAATAAAACAATACTTGTATTAGCAAATTTTTCCCCAACATATTTCCAAAACAATATTAGTCTACTTAGTGCCTGCGTTAAGTAGCTTTAGTTGTCAACTTGACACACTTGGGTACAGAGCCTCAACTAGAGAACTACCTCCATTGGACTGGCCTGTGGCCAGTGATGTGGGAAGGCCCTGTGGAAGGCCCAGCCCACTGTAGGTGGTGCCACCTCAGCAGGTCATTCTGTATTGTATAAGAAAGCAGACTGAGCATGGGCCAGGGGAGCAAGCCAGTAAGCAGCATTCTTCCATGGCCTGTGCTCCAGCTCCTGCCTCCAGGATCCTGCCCTGAATTCCTACCTTGGGCTCCCTCAGTGAAGAACTATGACCTGGGAGATGTAAGCCAAATAAACCCTTCCTTCCCCAAGTTGGCTGTGATCAGAGTATTTTGTCACAGCAACTGAAAGCAAACTAGAACAGTGCCCTTTTGGCCTGCTTTCTAGTCTAGATATGGAGCATTACCCCAAAGTTCTGACCCTGCTGTGTAGCCCTTAAAGGTTCTGGAAGCCTATTAAATGTGCTTAATTTCCACATTTACCAATATTTGAAGCTGCACAGTTACATATGATAAAACAGTACTGTGTGGAAAATACACCCCAGGAAGTATAATGGCAGACAACGCCTTAGATGCCTTAGCCTAACTCAACAATAAGACAAACGTAACTCTATAGAGTATCAAAGATGGAGTTTCAGAACCCACAGTGTACAGATAAGTGGATGGAGTGTGCACATATCTGCCATATATTCACGCAATTTTATTCTGTCACCTAAAACCTATGGAGACAGTGTTAATTAAATCCAAACAAAATTATCAAAACGGCCCTTCTAAATGAAGAAAGACTAGAAGATTAAAATTAAAAGGAAAAAACTACCAAGTATACTAATAAAAGAATGGGTACTTCACTTTGCTTTGTTGTTTTCGTTTGTGACAGAGCCTCATTATGCAGCCCAGGCTGGCCTTGAACCTCAGTGCTAGATTACAGGCATGTATCACCACATCTGCCAAGAGTGGACCTTTTACACAGAAACAATGACGGTACATCCCTCAAAGAATGCAAAAAAAAAGATTCTTCTGAGAAAAATTTTTTTAACTACACTATCAGTAAACTTAAGAAAATCATGTTTAACACACATTCTTTCTATCCTCACTAAACAGAGTAAAAGAGAATGAAGATTCTGAACCGCAAAAGAATATCTCAACAAAAATAAATAATGGGAGTCCAAAGTTCTCCAATCAGGTCAGGGAGGTAGCTCAGTCAGTATGACTTAAATACTCAGAACCAGGGCTGGAGAGATGGCTCAGTTGTTAAGAACACTGGTTCTTCTTGCAGAAGACCTGGGTTTGAATCCCAGCACCCACATGACAGCTAACAACTGTCCGTAACTCCAGTCCCAGGGGATCTGACAGCCTCTTCTGACCTCCGCCAATATTGCACGACATGGGTGCACTTACCTACATGCAGGTAGCACACACATAAAATAAAAATAATAAATAAAATATTTAAAATAAATAAATCCTCAGAACCATCCTGTGTCCAAAAAAAAGTTCTCAGTATGGTGACACATACTTGTAATCACAGTGATGAGGAGACAGAGACAAGTGCATC